ATTGTAACGATAAAAAAATCTTTTCAAGTACGAGATGAGAAATGATTCGTGTGAATCCTTTCCTCAGTCGCTATTTCTGAATTGCTATTTCTTCATACCGTGGAACTTATGCAGTAGAAAGAAGGGTAAAATAGTGAAACTGAGAGCTAAATGCCCTACATGGGTCAATGATACGGACCTGTATAGCTGGCTAACGTGTTTAAAACCAGAATCTCCACTAGCTCCAGTGAACGTCCCCTCTCATCCCGAGGACGTACAACAAGAAGCCACTCGTGACTTGAAACGTGACATTTTTTGGATATGATGGCAAGTTTCCGAGAAAGGTAATAAATATTCCTCAGACTTCAGTTTTCAAACAGTAACTCACAGAATATTGATTCACCGTTTTAAACCGTTTTAATTAGGAGAACTCTATGCTGATGTGGTTTTTTTCATTTTCTGTCCTTACACTCCCTTTATTTACTTTATGAAGCCGCCAAACACGGGAAAAGTTGAAAGCACTTTCCGCGATGAGCCATCGGAAAAGTCGTGGTTGGAGAGTTTGAAAAGCAGAAATCTGTGTTCTAGTCGACATTTACATTTCTTATCCCTGAGACAGAGTGGGCGTGGCTTTTGGACATGATATAGGGGGGGGGGAGGGACAAGGCCTCGAATTTCTCTCAAAAGTAACGCCCTGCTCCAATTGTGAGTAAATACGACCTCCTCCTTCCCCCTTATAGCGTCCGTGAAACAAAAAAACCAAATATAAAAAGGTTTTCTCGGCCTGTATGACCTCACATCCCCGGCTTGGGATTTCCCAGTGTACGACATGGTCTACCTATTTACAACTTTCTTACAGAGAATCGGTACAGAGTTGTCTATAGCGGCAAGCATCACTTTTCACCAGATTTCTCCTATAGAGAAAGTTAATCCAAGTGCTATCAGGGAGAGAACCTGTGAAATCCACATGTGTTGCACTCTTAGAGGAAACTGGGGAAATAAATGATGAACTCTAGAAGTTCTGAGGGATGGGGGTCATGTTTGAGAAGCGGGAGGCTTATTGCATCTGACTTACTCAGGGTTGTCTACAAGTGTGAGAATTTGTGCAAAACTCTGCGAAAAAGGAGAAGTTCTAAACGTAGATTTTTAGTGAACAATGTCCGATAAATGAAATTTTTTTCTGGGAAATTTCGGGAACAGAGCATAGGACTGCGAAAGTGATCATTTTCTGAGTGTTACTTCCTCAGTGGAAACTTTCTTCCCATTTTCACCTGTTTCCTGGATACTTTCCATGCCCCGCCCTCAAAAAAGGTGGAATCGAACCAATCAACTATCATTTTCAGCTGGCAAAAGTAGCATTAGTCATCTCATCAAAAATGTGCATAGTTTTATTCAAATACATCGATGAGTAGAAAAAAAGTAATATTTACTCTGTGGTAAGTAGATCTCGCTTACATGAATGACCCACTCCCAGAAGGGAACGTCTGGATCACTAGCACCTTCGTCTTCCAACTAGCGCGAGTAACCTATCGGTTTCGACGATCGACAGATCGTCGCAGCGTTTCCCGTTGGACAGTGCCTTCTACTGACTACAGCAGTGGAAATCGCGCGGCTGTATCGACCGAATAAGGCGGCTAAATCTATGTTTCAGTATTCTCTTGTTGGAACGCTGCCCAATAATACGACCAACTGGGCCCTGTCACTGTGATGAGCAGCTGTGTCCTTCTGAGCATTGTTGGGCACTATCCAATTGTCGATCGGCCTCTCAAGAGACTGGCAATGAGACGGATTCGTTCTCTGGATAGAGCAGCTTAAATGCCACAGGGCAGGAATCTACTGCCACGATGCGCTTGCGCCAACGTACCCCCATGGCAGAATCCGGGCGGCTTCTCATCGACATTCAGGCCATAGTTTGTGACTGAGGGATCGAAGTAAAAGAACACCCATAACCTCATATTTCATCAAGGGCTGGAGTGCTGTTCGCATACTTGAATAGGGCGAAGAAAATTGCTGTTGCCGGCATCGAATCCTTTGTGCGTTCGCGATTCTGTAAGTAAATGACGAAGACTAAGGAGTACCCAAGCATACACCCTCCTGATCATCCTCGAATTCTCTGGCTTAAAGACAGCCCATGCGCTCAAGAAGTATATGGTTGTCCTTCCTTGTGCAAGTAGTCCAGCCCCAAGCTAGAGATTGTCCCACTCTCGCGACCGCAGCGAGTGAGGAGCGAGCTACAGCCGCTGAAACTTCTAGTTGCAAGTCCGCTTATTTGGACCGCCCACTTGCTAGATGCCCTCCGACGAACGGCCGCTCAGCTGTACTTTGTTGGGGCGGCGGGCATTAATCGGAATTGCATCTCCTTTTTTGCTGACCGCGCTCGTGCCATAAGTAATTCTGCTCTCCTTTATCACATTTCATTCACTATGAGCAAATACAGTCAACCGCAACCCATCTCGCAAGGGTAAAACGCGTAAAAATCACTAGAGATGCAATTTTCGTATTGCAAAAGCTCGATAGCTTAAAGAGATGCACGTTACCGTAACCTCAAATTCGGACGCCCAGTTTATTTTCGAATTTTCTTTTTTTTCAAGTGTTTTTCGTCCGTGTTTTTTTTGCTTTTCGTATTATTTTCTTTGTATTGAATGCTATCCACTACTGGGAGATGCGATAAAGCAATTTGTTGCACGAAGACAACAGGGCAGTGTGATGTCAGGAGCGATTTTGTTCATGGTGTTCTTGTGGGCTCCTCTTGCCTTTGTTTTTCTTCTTTGGGGAATTACTTATCAGCTACTGCTTCATAATTGAACAGCAACTATCCATGACACTTTTGTCGCGAGAGCAGTCTTTAACGTGGCCAGCGGTTGCAGTAGAAATATCAGCTCCTGCTGGGGAAGCTCGGCGATGGTCCAGTTCCTGCAGTCAGTCATTTAATGCCTGACTTCGTCTACACGCTTGCCCTGACTCGTCGAACTGAGTCGCATCGTCGAGGGGGAGGGGGGGGAGGGGGAGGTAAATATTACTCTATTAGCACATGTGAAACAGGAGAAGCGGAGACAATACGCCCCTCCCCCACCCTTATATACCAGTTCTCAGATTTTCCTCAAATTTCTGCCACTTATTCCAAAATTTCCCGGAATTTTTTACTTTTCCCCAAAAATTTTGCTGCCGAGCGGGAGGGGAGCGGGAGTATATAGGAGTATATAGTACGAATGAAACAGGAAAATCACGAAAAAACAGCAACCACTCCCACCTCTACTAGAAAGGCGACAAGGTAATACGACCTTTCCCCTCCCAACAATGAGCAAGTACGAAAAGAAAACAAAAAGAAAAGAGAAGAAAAAATCAACTATGAAAATGAATTTTTTTAGCCCAAGTACGACCCCCCCCCTTGTTAGGGATTCCCCAACAGATGTGCTCTGCCACATTATGTTTTGAGAGCTGCCTTCTATGCAACTACTGGTCCAACTCAAAATCAATGTGAACTGCTCCCTTGCATGGCACCCTTCGAGAGACCAGCGCTGATTTTGACCACTCAGTTTCTTTTCACTTTCTCTGGTTTCTCCTCTGCGGTCATGTGGCCAACGTTCAGGACTGCGTCAACAGAAGTTACAACAGAAAGGTTTTCAGTGTACGGTTGGAAAGACATCCCGCGATTGTCTTAATAGAAAATTGCTTAGTAGGTATAAGCTCCACAGTCGCGTCAAGCTGCGTCATCTGGGCCACATTCGTAATTCGAAATTGCTTTTCAGGCGCTAGGGAATTGCGATACCTTCAAATCCTATCCACAACAGGTACAAATGTACATACAGTCCTCGTCATTGCGGACCGGTGGGGCATGTCAGTGCGGCTGCTTTTGGCGCGGTGCCAAAGTCGTTATGCACCAGTTGTTGAAGCGGGCAAGTGACATTACTGTGTTATGTCCTTCATATTACTCGTTTTCTACCACTTTTTGTCGCATACGCATTTTAACGAAAAGGCTGAGAACGGCTTCAACAGTGTGCACACTCATACTGGCCGACACGCTCCACCGGGCCGCAGTGATGAGGACTGGACATAAAAGTACAACTACTAAGTAGCAGCGTTACGATCGGATCCCTCGCCGGTGTGTGTGCAGCACGCAATGTTTACTTCTGCCATATCCTTACAGCACTCACACGTTCAACGTGATGAGCCGGTTAGCCGACATCGGCAGTGAACCACAAGGATGAAGGCTTTTTACAAGTTATCAAACAAGAGCTTGAAACTTGTAAAAACGCCTTCGGCCTTGCGGTTCACTGCCATTATCGGCTAACCGGCTCATCACGTTGAACGTGTGAGTGCTGTAAGGCTATGGCACAAGTAACCATTGAGCTGATTGGTCAAAAGTGGCCTCGGTAGCGTAATAGGGAACGCAACTGCGGATCATGTGATAGCTTTCGGATCGCGTACTGCGGCGTTAAACAGCAGTTATCAAACAATAACTCTATAGCTTTCCAATTTTTTCCCAAAAAAAAATTGTCGAACCGTTGGAGGAGACGATGAGGGAGGACGCCGCCAAGTCACTACCACTTTCAGTTAGGTGAAGTGAATGAAGGGAAAGAAATGCTCATTCTCTTATACCATTCGTTACTTCGTTCACTTCATCTTCACACACTCATCTTTTTCTACCGTAATCAGGGCTTTTGTAGCGTTTTATCTTTGGCCGTTTATGTGGCGTAAACGAAAACGTTGTGAAACTGCTTGCAACGTTTCTGTGACATTATCGTAGAGCAGCCCAATGCTGATCACGCTTTGTCGCTCAAATTCCTTTTTGATAAAAGATAAGGAGCGCGCCTATTAAGCTGGCAAGCATATTTCCTTACGCCCCTGATAAAAACTGCTGTCATTCTCGTAAGGCACTTCACAACGCTTCCACCGCCATCGCACTTGCTCAGTTCTCTGCACAGCTCTTTTATCATTACAATTCTAGAGACCTGCAATGTTTTTTTTGTTAGACATTCCATTTTTAGAGCCAACGGTATGCATGGGGGAATCCCAATGATATGACAAATCGTATCAATGCACAGCACCTAGAAAAAAATTATCTAGAGACCGGGTATTTGTGCCTTGTTGCCCTTAACAGATCAATGTAACCTCTTTGACGCCCCATTTAAGTCTATTCTAACTTTTGATTTATTTATTTATGCATAATTACAGCGCGCTCAAATGACCCGAAGCAAACAACTAGACAAAAAAAATCCAAAAAAATTCAACTTCAATTCTGTCAGTTTTTCATTTAACATAGTGGGCGTTTTTTTCCGCGGTACAATTCGCATGGAGTTACCAAGGCCTGCCTTCCTTTAGATCTTTCCAGAATTTTAAAGGGGCCTCCGACTAAGATGTTTTTGACGGTTATCATGTTTCAACCTTTAATGCGACTGCCATCGGTAGTAGAACTTGCTGGGGTATTTCAACCAATGTCCGTCGGACTACGGTATTCGCAGTTCAGCTCAAGGGTTTCTCAAGCTTTGAAGTCGTCTCTATAGATTTGAGCTTTGTAGCGTGATTTCACGTTTTTTTTCTTCTTTCCGTTGAACAACACTCGTGCTGTAAGGTGAGAAGAAACATCGTGAGCCAAGGGATAAGAATTTCTGCCCATGCTTAAAGGGGAGGAGCTCAGAGTTGAGTGAATTACTACAACTCCCATTTAACGCCTTAGGCTCGTGCAAAGCAATTCATGTTCAATTCAGTATCAATAGCAATTCATGTTCAATTCAGTGTCAGTATTCAGCAGTTCATTTTGTAATGGAAGAAAAATTGCTGCAATTACGTCAAAACAGAGGTATCGTGGCCACTACTCACCCCCTGCCAAGTCCTTCCTTCGACTCCTCTCCTCTCACTACCTGCAACGCTGGTACCAAACATCTCCAAAAATTTGCCGCCGTGCGGGGAAGTATATGGTGCCCGCGAGAGGTGCAAAGCCAACATCTGGAAAAAATATTCTAGAAAGCTCCTCTTGACCTGAATGGGACTCCCCCACTCAACTGAGAAATTTAAACACGATTGGTGAATTTCACTCAACTATAACTACCTGCTCCGAAAATCTTTATCAAGGTGCTCCAGCGAATTTAACAAGCGTCTAACTGCCCTGTTATCTTACGGAACTTCCGTGCTTCGCAGTTTCAGTACCGTTTTAGCCGAGGAACCATCGGCCAAAGTACACTAGACAGAATTTTAGAAAAAATTCCAGATAATCCCTGTGCAAGGGCTTTTCGGAGACGGAATGCTGTTGGGCGCTGTTCAGTCCATTATTAGAATGGGTCGCGCTCTTTGCTCCTATTCGAATTGCAGCAGCATTTTGGAAGCAATTCGATCTATACAATGGTTTTCGGTGCCAGCCGATGTCACTAGCTTTTATTTGCCCTGACAAGTCTGGGACCAGTTAGTCGAACATAGAGGGGTGGAAGGCTCGATGAGTGGAAATCAGCTTGTGATTTAAGAACAGCCGGGGTAAGGTGAGCCATCAGCCACGTGTGGGGTTTGGGGGGGGGGTGGGGAGAGGCGTGGGTCATGGATAATCTGAGTTCACATGACATGGCTACTCTGGTCTCTCCTATACTCTCTATACTATTTAATAAAGTTGTGTGCTGTATACCACAAATCGGCCACCTAACGACGAGCGTAAAAGAAAAAATCATTAAGTTCGTTTGGTTTTTTCTAAGAGCGAGAGTGCGGAACGGAAACAAAACTAATCCCTTATTCGGTCGACTTAGTATCCCGGAGCTAAATCGATACCTATACTTTCTAGCCCTCGCAACGCTGATGACATTGGCAGACGCTAGATCGATGTTCATACTTTCTTAGTCACTAGCGCTGCGGGACGCTAGAAACGCTGCCAAAAGCTAGCGTAGGCTGCCGCGACGTATGAACCCTCGTGTCGAGTATAACAGCGTAGATGGCGACCTTTGACGAGGCTCCAGCCCACAGCACAATATTGAAGTAATGCTATTTTTATTACAAAATACAACCAAACCTTGCAATATTACTAGAGTCCCTGCTGTGTCTAAGTCTTTGATTGCTGTTAGTTTTTCTACTCTATTTGACTACTGTCGCTTTTTTTGTTGGAAGCAAAGCACACCTGCTGTAAATTTATATCGTATGTTTCAGGATGGTGTTTTCCGACGAGTGGAGTGAGTCTACCATTACTATATTATTACTATGAAAAAAGTTCACTGAATGCCCTCATCACAATCACCCTGTTTAAAGTACATTCCGCGTTCGTAAGGAGAACACAGTGGGGTTCAGGTATTAAGTTCTAAGTGAGAGCTGACCTGTTAGTGGAGCGGGAAGCAGAAGAAGTTTTGAAGACTCCCTCGTCCTCAAGGCAATTGGTCTCAAAGGCAGTTGGCACGATGGTTTTCTGCCTGGCCTCAAATGCTAGTAGAGCGTTTTATAGTGGGGAAATGGCGAAAGAACGGAGTGAAACGGTCAAAATCCTGCGAAGAAAAGCCTCCGTTCTCAGTGACTTGTAAATCGATTTCGGACGAGTTTCCCGTAGGCATCTTACCCATCACTACCGAAGATACGGCTGCATATTTGAACCCATGTATGCATGCAGCGTCACAGCCGCTTCATACCAATCCCTTCGCTTCATAATTTGTTTAGAAAATTAGTGAATAAGAGCGTCAGGAACGGTCGTCCATTTGTGGGCGCGTGGGCGTGGCGGGCGTTTGGGACGTAAAACTGTGGCTTGATAGGGCCCTTATAAGGGCACCTTCCTCGGAGAAACCCCTATGCAGCGCCTGCCCAGGGTCGCGGAGTTCTATCCTGCTAGGAGTATTGATTCTAGTCGTCTTGGGGGATTTATCGTGCCAACTGCCTTTAACGAGTAGGGCGATCATCAAAAAGCAGGCGAAGACACATTGACCTGAGAGGACAGGTGCAGCAGAAGGAAGATGAAAGAACACAAAGATAAGCGAGATGACAGACATCTAGACATTTCAGCCATCGTGGACGTTCACGGGCTTCGATGTTGTACCTTTTTCGAAGCAAACGCGCTACACTCCCAGACTTGAGGGTCTCATTCATATAAGTGTAACACGCTTGCAAAACAAGTAAAGGCGCAGCTTTGGTGGTCTATTATTATTATTACTATTTCCCCCGGAATCACTTCGCGATGGCCAGTGGCGAAATGTGTCTCTGAGTGTCAGACACCAAATCGAAATGACAGTTATTGTCTGTTTAATCCCCACTGTTTCTCAGGGACGGTTACCGACGAATTATCTGAGTTCACCTTCAGAAATTTATATATTTCTCATTGAAACAAAGCATTTCTCTGATTCTATCCCATGTATTTTATCTGCGGGGTCTACTGTAAAAAAAACTATTGCCATTACTCCGAAGATCTGTGATGTGACGTCACAGCCTGACACCCCATTAGGTATGATAGCGAGCACGGAAAGCGGCGATAGCGGGAGGGGTGGACAATAACGGCGTCCAATTACAACCACAGGTAGCATCTACAATGTAAAAGGATATGTTGGAGTCAGCCTGGGTGAGAAGAAACGGCAAAAACTTCACATTTCTTGCTGTGCAGTTGTAATACACGCCTTGCCGTCGACCTGACAGGCCTCGTAGCTGCAAGTCGGAGTGGGGAAACAAAGTGGGAGTGAGTGCAGCTTGCTGGATTCTGAGGGGAACTGGTGACACTAACAGTAAACGGTGATATCAAGAGACCTCTACCTGCAACAGTTAAGCGCGACCACAGCTCGCCTACGGGCGTACTAGCAAAACCTGTTTCTCGGGAGTGGGACCAAACATGGACACCAGACAGAAGTTCCAATCACTCTTCATAATCTGCTTGATCGCCATACTCCGACCCCTGGGATAATGACAGAACCAGCTTGAGCTGCCGGAGTCGGGCTATGATTTACTATGGTTATATTGTTGTTCAAGTAGGACTGACATGTTCCTGTGTATTCGAAAAACCCGAACAATGTGACTCTACCCTGGAATTAGCGCAAGTACCTAAGACTGACCCTGATAATAAGTCTGGTAAGCCTCCTAATATGCACAACGCGCGCTGAGCTGAGAGGTGCGCCTTTGTTATGTCCGGGGCTAACCGGCCCCGAGCTTTCGAAACGTAACGATTTCCCTGTCCAAAGGTGCGCCGGGATGGGGAAATCAGGACCGTGGGATAGGCTTTCTCCATACTCCGTCCAAAATGCAACTTGGTGCGCAGACACGCTGCACACCACTGGCATATCCCAATCACATCTATCGGCGTCACGTGTTGCGCGTTGCGCTCCTGGCACTTTGCCAGTTCTTGTAGTTTGCGCTTTCGAATATGTGCAATGAAAGTGTTTTTTTTAACTCTGCCCCCTGCCTTCCCCTGCAACACTGCTCAAGAAAAGGGGATCAAGCTCAGAAGCTGCATGTTCGTGAGAAAAACGAGCTAAAGCGAGTTTTCAAAGGGGTCAAAAAGTCTAAAACCATTTGTAAAATAAGAAAACTCGGAGGTTTTCTTTGAGAAATTTCAACTGCTCAAATCTCAAGAATGACTTTTCAGATGAAGCTCAGAACAGACGACGAGCCGAAAATCATGAAATTGGGACGCTCAATGAAAGGCTCGCAGACGTCATTTCCAATGTAAGGCGGTTTAGCTTCAAAGGGCTACTACAAAAGTAAAACGAAAATCCTGTCTTGAAAAGAGGTTGAAATTCTCGAGATTGCACTGTGGTTACAGAAAGCTCAGGCGGTTAGAGTAGGGCCACGCGGTGTAGCGCCCATATCTGAGCCTTCTTACCATGTATGAAAATTTGCATAGCCACTCTGAGGCTTCAAAAACTTGGCAAGACCCTGGAAGGCTCACATGGAATAGTGGTATTGTCGCGTCCGCATGGCTCTCCCGCAACCTCTGTTGCTTAGTGCATAGGCTTGAAGGCAGCGTCCGCTTTCATTTGATGTTCCTACGCCCTCATCAGATATCGTAGCTTTGTCGACAAGGGTGGGGATGTACTAATTCCGCATCTCAAAAATACGAGAGGATGGCGCCACCCGCTTGTGAAGAGGATGCCGCCCCGCCCACCTGATTGCCATAACTGCTTTGGCTTGGCCTTTGAGGGCTGGGCCCGCTTTCAAGAATAATGAGTTATGGAGCTCATATAATACGAGATCCAGTTATGAAGAAAAAAGCAGAAAAAAAATCATGGAAAGTGCCCTATATAGAACCTTATGCTGGCCAGGTGGGCCGGGCGGCCGATTCTTCACTAGCGAACGGCGCTATCCGCTATCGCTTTCGCCTTATTGAGCCTCACAGGAAGGGCTATGGTATCCACAGAGGGCGCGGGAACATCAAGTGATCGTGGGCGCTGCCTTCAAAGAGAGTTTAGCCTCACAACTTTTTTAACATATAGAGAGAGGGCCAGACTCTATCATGGTTAACAGTGGTACTTACACTCCTACTTACAGGTCCACTTTCTTCAAGCACACAGTCGCAAGCTGGAAATGATCATTTCGCAATGGTCGAGCTCGAGTTGGAGGTTTGATGAGGTAAGAGTGTGGCACACACGGATTATATAAGGACATGTGCTCAGAATTGGTACTATTTCAGGACGACTTTACGTTCTACCCTAAATCAGGTTTCAAAGCAGAGGCTGAACAAGTGCAGGGATTAATGCTTAAACTGAGCGCTGCTGAATCCAGGTAGCACATGAAACATTAAATAGACAACAATTATACATACAGCACTACAGATGCATACATAACATATCCGAGGGCAGTGCGGGGTGTAGTAGCTATGGTTGCGAGGGTCCAGACGAAAGAGACGCAGATTCGAGAGAGGAGAGACAGCATGGGAATACGCAACCGTGACCGGGACGCCCCGCCTAGCCCTCAGAGATGCAGTGTAAGCGCTAATGCTGTAACGGTGTTGTTAAATCCTATCACGTTGCATATGAAGGATTGGTTTCCCCATTTAGACACATTCCACAAGCATCTAGAAGGCCGAGTCCATTTGTATTGCAAGTTGGCCACTGCTTCATGGGGGTTGTGCTTGTTTCGTGATTTGAGAGTGAGATGGAGATGTGAGATGTGGAGATGAGTGAGGGGGGACTAAAAATGCCTGATTGACTGTCCGTCTTTCTTTCTGTTCATTCATTCTTCAGTTCTGGTTTTAGCCGCTGTCGCACTGTTTAGGCTTGCTCTTGTTTTGGTGGATGCTCGTGCAGAGCCTAAAAAGCTGAATCAATGGCGGGAAGGAAAAACTCCTTTCATCCTTTTTGTAGACTAAACCAGGCAAGGCGTTACCTACGACGGGCGGAGGTGGCGCAGTGCCAGTTACCATGCGCGCGGTCCGGAGTCGGACGCCGTTCGGCTCCCCCGCCAGGCAATCAAGCCTTCAATCGTCCGGGTACGGCAAAGTGGTTCCGGTAAGGGAGGACCAAAACATCAACTTGTATATTGACTGGCCCCTGCAAGTCATTGTATAGGTCATATCACCTTCAATAGACCAATACGATCTTAAAGACACTTGGTACGATCACACATAGTTTGGGTGTGCGTGACTACCAGCCCCCCCCCGCTGTCGAAGCGTAGCGGTTTCACCTTCCTAACATGCGCAGGAATGGAGATACAGGACCGTGAAACACGCCAATTCCTCCATGCTGCGCTTTACACCTTTTTGCGGCGCAGATTCCTGTCCTTCATAACATCCGTCGTAAGCGCGCGTGCCGCGTGCGGCTCCTTGGCACTTTGCCAAGTCCTGTAATTGCGCTTTGTAATACAAGTAAATCGCAATTTCCTGATGCGGATGACATTTGAGGTGTTGCTCATGCTCAAAGTCCGAATAGAAGGTTATGAAGATGACAAAAGCCAGAAATGAAGAACAACGAATGTAAATGTAAATAAAACAAAAATGAAAAAATTAAGGAAATGCAAATTAAATAAACCCGCGTACAAATTTCTGCAATTGGGCGCGATTCCGGCTCCAAAGCCATAAAACTAACGAGTTTAAACTAACCAGTGGGACCCTTAGGCCATTTTTATTTTCATGTTTTGTAATAATGCGCGGCATCCAAGGGAGTTTGCAGAAGAAACACGGTTGCTCTAGAGTTCTGAAACTCGTCATCATCTTCGGTTCTTATTTTGCAGCACCTCAAATATTATCCGCATCAGTAAATTGCGTTTCACTTTTATCCCAGAGCGCAATTACAGGACTTGGCAAACAGCCAAGAGCGGCTGTTACCATGAACGGGAGTCTGCGGCAAAATGTATTGGGCGGAGCATGGAGGAATTAGCGTGTTTCATGGTCCTGTTCCATTCCTGCGCATGTTAAGATGGGGAAACCTCTACGCTTCGACGGCTGGGGGGCTGATAATCACGCATACCCAAACTATGAGTGATAGACCACGTGCTTCAAGTGAAAGTAAAATGCGTGCCGCATCCCAAAAAGGGTTGGTCAGCGGCCAAGCTCGTATTCGGTACCCCCCACGAAATGATTTCGCGTGCGATGCGATCGGGGAATCGCTAGGCATAATAATATAATTAGCCCTATATGGTGGTAATTCCAGATTCGAGGCTGTTCATCGTGAATATGAACAAGGTCAGCAAAATTTAGATGATCTCGTCAGAAAACTGTGTGAAAGTCGTATGAAGGTGAGGAAATTTTTCGTTGGTTCAAACTAAGTAGGGTCATACTGGTTCACATAACTCCCCAGCCGGATGAGCGCAGGCTCACAACCATCGTCTCTTGCTCTTTAGCGGGCCTCTCATCTTTAATTTACTAGACATCGCTCCAGTAAGAAAAACATAAAAGTTACAGCCTTTTTTGCGTCTGGGGAGTAGGGAGGGGGTGGGTGGGTTTAGCGCCAACTCGTTTCTTTTGTTTTTTTTCGTTCGGCAAGCAACAAAGCTGTATCATATTCTTCTTATCTACCATCCACCAACTTTTGTTGCTCACCCTCTTCAACAACTGCTGTGCAAAGGGCTGGTCGCGCTCCGAACCCTGCCTCACTAACACGTCCCACTCGCAGCGAACAAGACTGTACGAGTCACATCCCATCCGATTACTGTGATGTCTATCTTCAAAATTCAACTTCGCAGGTATTTCACAAGGGTTTTCCTTTTCCTTTGTTTCCTTCGTTCCCCATACTCATCCCTTGTCAGTTAGCTGACCTTAATTTTCTATACCTTAATAGCCTTTCGTATCTCGCTCAATCAGGACCTACACCCGCACCGGTAGTGCTTTAATCACGGTTCTAACACATATTTCTTTCTTACTTGCCATATCTAGATCTAGTCTATTCTATCTATGCTGTCTATCTATCTATCTATCTATCTATCTATGCCATCTATCTAATCTATCTATCTATCTATCTATCTATCTATCTATCTATCTATCTATCTATCTATTCTATCTAATCTATCTATCTATATATCATACTCTCTAATCTATCTATCTATCTATCTATCTATCTATCTCGTCTCCTTGGAAATGTCAAGTATTAAGTGTTTCTAATAATATCCATCTCTCTCTTATTCAATACCACCTCTCTTTGATACGAATTCCTTTCTAACTTTCGAAAATACGTTGCGTTCTTTCCTTTGTTGGTCTCTCTAATCTGTTTTCCTTCCTGAATCTTACCAGATGCTATTAGTTGATGTTTTCTCCGACAATTTTCTTTCTCTTTTTCTTCTCTCTCCTCTCTTACTCTCTTCACTGCTCTATTTTGGAAATCGGAAATCGGAAAAGGTTACCTTTTTCTTCACCAATCATCCAACCCTTCCCTAACGCTGGATAGTGCACATATGAGTAAATCTGAAATAAATTTCCCAAAACGATGCTGAGTGTTCTCCCCAGGACCTGCTTTCTAACTTGTCATGGATTTCAGGCGTGCATAGCGAAAAATCTCGGAAGAAATCTCGAAATAGAGTGCAGTCGGCTCAGATCGGAAAATCAGGAAATTCTTGAAGATCTTGCCGCTCAACGTTCGGTGAATATACTCATGTTTTAAATCAAAGTATACATTAGAAAAGAACCAAGCTTTTCAGATCACAGATCGAGAAGTTGTTGACCGAGCAGCGTTCGAGCGACGGGCCGCAGTTCTTCTGGTGGACTGTACAAAAATCCTCGAATCATGCAGAGTGAAAAATTTTAGTTACAGCACTCTTCATAGTTCGTATCATAGAATAGTTAGTGTTTCCATGTGAGAGATTCCTAGAGCGGCACATACCCATGTACAGGTATTAAGCGGGGCCACTGGGTAGATAGAGAGAATAGGGCACAGAGAAGAAGAAATAACTCAATTGAATTCGAAGGGACGGCCTAGAAGTTTACTGCGTTCCTCCAAAATCGTGTAGTGAGACAGATTACCCTCGGTGCATGTGAAAAGACTATGTTGGTACGGATTACAGGGTTTCCTTGGTTGAAGCAAACTGTAATTCACCACCGATGACGGCCCTCTCAATGAGGCTGATGGGTCCGTAGCTGCAGTAGCGTGTCAGTTGACACTCGAAATCCTGTGAAATGTGGTAGGCATGGCTGCGCAACTCAACTGAAAGTGGCTGTGGCTGTGCTCTTGGTCAGGTCTCTTCGTTAGGATACAATCGCGGTCATCTCTCTGTCCTACACTGGGACATTATGACATTGTCTCAAAATGAAATATCTCCCCAGTATCCCAGTGTATGCGATGTTCAAATGACAGGCCTACTCCTCGGGGGTGAGGTGTGTGAAAGTGCGCGGAAACGGGGCTGAAGGGTGATAATACTTTGGCGCCGTCTTCATGCTCCGCCTGCGCTGCCGCACTACCAGCCAAATACCTAACCTTAACCAGAAGAGCTATTTGTCTACGCCTTCTCCTTTGCGGTTGCTCTCTACCACTGAGTATGGGGGTCGCTGCGGGGCCATGGGTGCCAATACGCTACAGTCCCGTTCTCGTGCACTCTTGAGCGACACCTCTCGCAGGCTATTATATCAGGCGTAACTGGGAAGCCTCTCACGTGGAAACGATAAGAGCTTGTGCATACCGTATGTTTGCGCAACTTTTTCAATGATACAAACAATAAGAGCCGGAATTTTTTTCCGTTGAGTTTATTGAAGTAGGTGAATGTTGAATGATTTCAGACTGGAGTAATCAGTACCTATTCGTTCCACGATATAGAAGACGATCGTAGGGTTTTCCGTGCTGAAATCGCTTCTGCGATGACTGATATTCGAAGGCAATACGAGGGCGTTAGTGAGCTACTACGCGGTGGTTTTTACTACATGAAATGGATAATTTCAGTTGGCTAGTACGGTAACTTATGAGATGAGGCAATGGTACGATGAAAGGGTCTCGCACTACGCCATTGGTACTTCCTCTGAACTCACTGTGCAGAAGGTAGGCAAATACGATCTCTCTTCTAAATATAGCCTATAGCCTATAGCAAACGCGCTCTGGGTCTACAGAGCAGAACTTTCTGTGTGTTATTTTCAGGAAAAGCTGGCGTCACTACGAGCAGAGCTCAAAGATCTGCGAACACGTCTGCATGATTTGGACAACCGGGTAGGTTTTTTCCCGCTCCACAAGGCAATTGTAAGCCGCGATAGTGTGACCTTGCATTTAGTCGTGGTGCCTGTCTCCTACTACAAGCATACAATACTCCCACTTTTCGTCGCTTCACCTTCCCCCCACCCCGGCTGGCCTCTCGCAGTGAGAGAGACTGAATCCAATAACAGTTCCGTGACCAGTGGTTTTTCCAATTTCACATGAAGATAACATTCATTTCGGATATGTGGCAAGAGAATCGTACTTTGCCGCGCCCGTGAGCGTCGTGTGCGACGCCGCGCCTGTTAATGACTATGATTTTAGCTGGCATTGGTCGAGAATAGACAATGCTCCACTAAAAATGATATGATAGAATCTTGAAGAAGACAATACTAAAAATAGAAAATAAGTGTCTTCATGTCCTTGCCTGCATGACATGCGATTCTCCAATGGAAAAGGGTTGTGCAAATTGAGGAAAAGCTCGCCGAGCGCGACGCGCAATGTGCGATCTCTTGCCCTTCTCCTAACAGTTCAGCCACGTATTAGTGGCGTTTAGCGCGACATTGAGCAGACACCAGCAGAAACAGTCCACTACAAGCCGAGCGAGCGTGGAGCAGCAACCCATCATCCGTTGCGAGCGTGTGCATTTCCCACAATTTGAGTAAGAACCATTTTTTTATAGTAGACTCCAGCAGCAAATAGTTCTCAATGTTCCATATCTGATTCAAGTGGCACTCACCAGTACCAACCTAAATTCAATGTGAGATATGCTGGAGATACTTGGAGAAACCGGAGCTGTGCTCTAGCGCCTAGCTTGAGGTCACCTTTACCTGCCTGAACCATCCATGCTCCGTCTCGCTTTATCATCCCCATCTCATTGAAAACCTCAGTGCATATGAGTGACTGACCTCATTTTGACTAAGTGACAACCCTGACCCCTACGATGAGAAATTCCTCAGTATTTGTCCGCATTCATGAAGAAAGGTGGTCGATTTAGGTAGGCGTCAGCCAGTAGCTTGGGTAAGTTGTTGTATTTGCCACATTGAATTCGAGCGGACCAAACAGCTACATTCCATATCCTGAGGTCGGAGGGGACGGTCCATGGATTCAGTTACGAGCACGCCGACAGTGGCATCAAAACATTTTAGAGAGCAGCAGCGTGCGCATAGAGGTGGTATTCCTTCAACCTGAACTTGAAAATGCTTTCACCGCTGCACTCTCAAGCAAGTTCCAATGCCGACTCTGCACTGAACAGGTCCCTGTGCTATGAATGGAGTGCTCAGCAATGGAAACAGTAAGCTTATCATAAAAGCTAGGGGGACGTCGTGCACTGGCCCACCAATCATGCCTTGGGGGTAAATCCCTGGGAAGCAGAATGCGGGTCACATCCCAAAAGGGGATGGATCAACGGCGAAAACATCATCCATTATCCTCCTTGTCTATACATTTTATATTCCTACTTCACTTGTTCGCAAAATGAGAATCATTCACTATTCTACTTTCAGAACCGCCTTCTGGAGAGCCTCATCGCTGACATTGAAGAAGCCAAGGTTGCCGAAAGAATGGCTGAAGAATCCTTCCTCAGAGAAGACCAGCTTAACCTCAAAGCTTTGATGGAAAAATATGACACCGTAACCAGCACTGCTCCCTTGGAGCAACGGTACACCATCCTGGTGTGTAGATTTCAATTCTTTGGTCACATCGCTACATTAGAACAAATATACAACTATAAGTATAGGTGCATACAGTATTCCAGGAACGATAAAACTGCTCATTTCAGACACTTCGAAATGAAATTCTACGGTATCGTGAGCTTCTCGACAGTCTTAGCACGGGAACCATCAGGGATGGACCTGGAGCTCTCGCCATACATCATTCTAGAACGTCATCACGTGAGATCCCAAATTTAACTCCCTTCTCGGCACCACAAGTTGACTTTTAAGCACTTATTATTAGCTATATGTCGTTCATTAGGAATGAAAATGCTGCAGTGGTATGTAGCACCACTATTACACATATAACACTGGGTAGCATAATCATAGCTCCACTCATGAATCTCACAAAATCCTGTCTTACGCGAAGTTTTCCAAAATGCCCCCATACAAAAAATATGGTAATTACCGATATCATTCGCATGCCAACAACAAAATCTAACAAAAAATAATTTTTTTTCGTCAATTTTTCCAAAAATGGTCGTTCTGACAACGCAGCAAAAGTATAGTTCCACCGAACAAATCGAATATACCAATAATAAGTGTACAATAAAATGAATAAATTTCGATCCAGTAATCTATTGGAACTCTATTTCTCCAATTAAGTAGGAAAATAGGGTTGCCCATGTTCGATTAGAGATTTTAATAGGCTTTTGGCCGACTGCCCCAATGACTAACTCAATAAGCTCACGGACCTTGTGGAATTGTGCATTACTTTCATGGATCATACGCACCATGGAACACCTCACATCCTCGCTTGGGTTTTAGTCGGGGCTACTCGCTGGCTAGGGCAAAAGAGCAGTTTGGTGACAAGTGAATCACGCTCGAGTGTTTCGACTGTCATGAACTGGTGCATT